TCAAAACCAGGCTGTTGGGTTTTTAAAACCAAATTCTACATCTGGTCCAGGGGTGGCGCACGTAGGACAAAGCTAGGACTTACCACCTGCTGGGACAGAGTTCAGGGTTCCTGGATGATCGTGGCTGCGGCTGCCTCTGGTTCTCCCTCCCGCATCTCCTTTCTCCTCCCCATCTCAGGTGGACTACTTCCCACTGACAGAACAGAAGTTCTCACTGTTGGTGGACAGCCAGCTTGACTCACCCAAGGCCTTGTATCTAGGGCGTGTTATGGGTAAGCTGAGGGTGACAATGCATTGGGGGTAAGAAATTGTGGGTGAAGTCCCTGGAGCCCAGATGAGAGTGAAGGAACTGGGAATCACAGAGAAAGTGCTGATTAGTAGGAAATCTATAGATGGTAAGGGAGGGTTATTGGTGGTCCAAACGCTTTCTTTCTGGGCCTGCCTCTCCCCCAGAAACAGGAGTAATTGACCCAGAGATCCAGCGCTACAACACACCAGGTTTCTCGGGCTGCTTGTCTGGTGTTCGATTCAACAATGTGGCTCCCCTCAAAACCCACTTCCGAACCCCTCGACCCATGACTGCTGAGCTAGCTGAGGCCCTTCGAGTTCAGGGAGAACTGTCTGAATCTAACTGTGGAGCCATGCCACGTCTTTTCTCAGAGGTGCCACCTGAGCTGGATCCCTGGTATCTGCCTCCAGGTATGTCCCCAGGACACAAGAGGGAGGGACAATAGAGAAAGAATATTCTTCTTACCACATCGGAGGCTTCTCCTAACTGGTGCTTTCTCTTCTTCAGACTTCCCATACTACCATGATGATGGATGGGTTGCCATACTTTTAGGCTGTGAGTAGTGTGATCCCTGCCCTAACCTCCTGATTCCACCCTCTCACTGTTAGCATTCCCTCCCTGCCCTGTAGATTCTGTGGGTCGTGACCCCTGAAAATACATCCTGCACATCAGATATTTACATTACGATTCATAACAGTAGCAAAATTACAGTTATGAAGTAGCAACGAAAATAATTTTATGGCTGGGGGTCACCACAACATGAGGAACTGTATTAAAGGGTCGCGGCATTAGGAAGGTTGAGAACCACTGCTGTAGAACATGGTAGTGCAAAGAAGGTTGAGATAGGCCATGCTGAAGTAGTATGTAATTGGAATAGAGATTTTTAAATGTTTGAGGATGCTATAGACTTTTGTTTTTATGTTATAGACTTTAATTGAAATATTAAGATTGGACTATGGTTAAGGAATGAGGAAATGGGGGTATAGTAACATCTAGAGAGATAAGAAGGGTTAACTGCCCTAGTTGGTTTGGCTCAGAGGATAGAGCGTCAGCCTGTGGACTGAAGGGTCCCAGGTTCAATTCCAGTCAAGGGCACATGCCTGAGTTGTGGGCCCGACCCCCAGTGGGGGGCGTGCAGGAGGCAGCCGATCAATAGTTCTTTCTCATCATTCATGTTTTTCTCTCTTTCCCTCTCCCTTCTTCTCTGAAATCAATAAAATAAATATATTATTAAAAAAAAAAAGGAAGGGATGTGAAAAGAGAATATTAGAAGATGGCAGGGGATAAGCCAGGAATTCAGACCTACCAGACACTAAGGAATAGCTTGATGGTTGTAGAGTGAACACTGTTGTTCATGTATGCTTTTACTCAAAAGCATACATCTGTGTCTGTATGTAGGAGAAACCCCAAAGATCTGCTCTAATTATTTCTTTTTCCTCTTTCAGTTTTGGTGGCCTTCCTGCTGCTGGGGCTGGTGGGAATGTTGGTGCTCTTCTATCTGCAAAATCATCGCTACAAGGGTTCCTACCATACCAATGAGCCCAAGGCCACCCACGATTACCACCCTGGCAGCAAACCTCCCCTACCTACTTCAGGCTCTGCCCAGGCCCCGCCCTCTACACCAGCTTCCACCCAAGTTCCAGCCCCAGCCCCAGCCCCAGCCCCAGCCCAGTCCAGCCCCAGCCCCAGCCCCAAACCCAGTCCCAGCCCCTGGCCCTGGCTCCCGGGACCAAAACCTACCCCAGATCCTGGAGGAGTCCAGATCTGAATGAATCAGAAGGGCTTCAGGGACCAAGTCCATTTCCCTGAATTCCCCATAACCTGCCCCTACCCAACCCTGTCAGGGACATTTGACTCCTTTTAGCTGGTTCTGCTCACCCAGAGGATTCCCCTCCTGCCAAGTTTGGTGGGCAGAGCTACAGATGGGACCAAAGGGAGTAGCTGAGCCTCACTGCCTAAACCAGTGCCCTGCCCATTTCCGTTTCCCCAGGCTCCTGGTGGTTTGCCTGCCCCAAAAGGAAAGCCTCATGGGGTTGAGACAGGTCCTTCCTGCCATCCTTGTCCCAGCTGCTGCCAGGGATTAAGAGAATGCAGGGGAGATTAACTGTCTCTCTCCAAACATTCAATCTCAGCAGGGAGAGATGTGTGGGATTGCAGGGATGCACGAGGTATGGGGGGAGGAGGCTGCTAAACATATCCCCCAGCCTTCGCCCTGCCCTGCACATCTTCCATCTGTGTCCACTCAGCTGGGTGTTAGGGAGGGCTTCATCACTGGGTCCTACCCTCCTCCTCCTTTTTTGTTTTTTATAGACTGAGAGGCTTCAGTTTAGCACTTTAGTACCTCTGCTGCTTCAAATGCTTTAGCCAAAGCCATAAAAACTTGCAACGTAGAGAAAATGCAGACACACTGACTAGCCAGCTCCATACTCTTCCTCCCTCTTCCAAGATATGCAATAGCCTTGATGCCTGTCAAAAGGCTTAGCCCCCTCTCCAATGCATGAGGAGCCCTCTTTCCTCCGCTCAGAGATGCTGCTTCATTTGCCCAGGAGGTCACATTCTTTAAATATATTTTTTGTTGCAAAGTCTCTCTCTAGAGAAACTATATATTATTCTAATTTTTAAATTATCAGTTTATATATAAAAGAAGAAAAAAGCAATCGATTGTCCTGTCCTGTGCTGTGCTTTAGTTTGCTTCTCCTGTGTTGGAAGTCCCATGAGGCCTGCTGGTCACTCATCCAGCCTGAGTCGGCCTCCACTCTGAAGCTGTGCTCTCAGACGTAGAGCCGTTCTAATAAAACAGAGTGGCAGAGCCCCAGACTGTGTGTGGTGGCTGGTGTTGTGGTTAGCGGGTAGGGTAAGTGGAATGGCTTTAAGAGAACTAATTTGAGGGCTTGGGAATTTCTACAGGGAACCCTCAGAATCCTTGCATCACCTACCAGGAGCCTGACTGGTTCTTGCCAACCCTCAATCTCACCCAGCCTCACATCTCAGTGGACAAGTGGGGATCAGAATGCTAAAGCTTCAGCCGAACTGTCCCTATACCATCATCCCTGGATCATTTCCAGCCCCAAAGCACATGGAACACACTTTGCCAAAATGGATTCTGCCATTTATTCAGATAAGAGATCACAAGCCACAGGACTTAAAGTGCGTGAAATTCACTGGCAATGAAGCCGCACATATACCAGCCTCCCCGCGCCCCCCCCCCGCCCCCACCTTGCTCCATTCATCCTTACATGTCTGGGGGGAGGGGTTGACACCCGTCATTAAAGGTTGAGGACAGCAGGGAAAAAGGATGGGAATGCTGGAGGAGCAGGAGTATTAGTGGTCTGAAACTGGGGAAGGAAGGGGTTGACCACAGTGATTCTGTACACTGAGGCAAGGGTGGGGTCAGTAGCCTCTCAAAGGCTCGATGTAATTTTTTCCCACCTGTTCCTCACGGCCAGCCCCTGGCATTTCAGGCAGACGTAACTCCTCCTTCTTCATCTGTCTATGGTTTCCCCTATAATTTTTGAGTAATTCAGAGCCCACAGTCCAGCTAGAAGGTGCCCCAATACACAATGATTACAAACCACAGCAAATATGCATTTCAGAATTGTGGTGGGGGCTGGCCCACTCAGGTGGGAAGAGGCTTCTGTCAGGCGCTGGCTGGGCATATGCCCTGCTGCATGCATGTGCCCACAAGTGTGGTGAGTGAGAGTAGGTGAGTGTGTGTGTGTGTGTGTGTGTGTGTGTAAATGTCCCACAAAAACCCCTGGGCGGCTGCTTGGGCAGAGGGAATCCTATCCCTTGCTTCATGGGACAGCCAGTGGGGTTGAAGGAAGGGAGTGGTCAGCACAGACTGGGAGAGAGGGCTGATTCCCCAGAGGGAAGGGAGAAGCCTGCTCCCTATTCTAATACTCCCGAGGCCAGTCTGTACCTGCCCATGTCCTTTTTACCCAGCACAATGCTCCTTATTCCCTGCCAGCTCAGCACACAGCCAGACTCTTAGAGCCGGCCCTTTCTTATTAAATTCTTCTGTGTCAAGACAGCTCCTCCTACCTCCACCAGGCGACGAGACAGAACTGGCGGAGAATCCTCCACCCCTCTTCTCCCCCACCTCAGGAAAGGGATTTGGGCAAGGAACTCAAGACCTTAGCTTAAACTCTACCCCAATCTACAGATCTTCTAAAAGAAATAAAGTGCTTTGCTCTGCATAAATCCCAGAGAAAATGGCACACAGACTGGCACAGGTGGTCTTCTCGACACTTCAAATACCCTCTGCCAGCCTGCAGGGCCCACATGATGCCATCCTAAACACGTGCAATTTGGGAGTCTCTGACCCACCTCCAAAAACATACTGTCAACTCACCCTTTCCAACAGCAGGAGCTACAGACAGGAAAGTCAATCACACCGACAATCTCCCCCTAGTCCAGGCCTGTGCCCATCTACATGGAAGAGATAAATGACAGTGGCTCCATGGGCTTGGCCTCTAAGGGGAATGAAAGGCCTGAAAACGACTACGGATCCAGGGAGCCAGAGTGCTCACACCCAGCCTGCATACCCCTCCACGCTTCTTCAATAGCCGCAGAATGCCTGCCTGGAGTTGCTACGCTAGAACTTAGGAAGGAGCTAATAGGGCATCGGAAAACGTATCCATCTCCAGAATATTCAGAGGTTTCGCAAAGCCTGCTGGGCCTCAAGCTTAACAGTTTAATTGCTATGGTCAGGCTGGTTCTCACTGTCCCCGGGAGGAGGGCCTTTATCTTCCCTTCTCCCAGCATTGAATATCTATACTTAGAACCCACGCTCAGGTTGAGCCCTGCCAGGAAGGAAAAGGTAGTAAGGTGACCCACCTCCCCTCTGAATTCAGTCTCTGCTGCCTGCCAGACTCACCTTTAACCCAGATCACTCAGAAGCTCCAGGTCCTAAATGTCACTTAGCCTGTCTTCTCCAGGTCTTAGGACCACAGAGAGATATGCTGGCAACCCAATTACATAAGGACCCTTGATTTGGAAAGTTATAATTAACGGCTAATGCTTGTGGGAACTGCCCAAGTTGATTCCTGAGGCCCACCGCCTGGGTGACAAGAAATCATGCATATATCACCCACCCTCACCTGTGCTCACTTCCTCTGAGGCCTGAGATGCAACACTGACTTCTGCACCTCTCTCTCCTGGGAGCCCAAGCCCTAGCTGCCTCTGCCTCCCCTCTCACTGAGACAGTTTTGTCTCACTGGACACAGCTGAGGCCACACTACAGAGGAGTGGGTGGGGGTTTCTTGGTGTGAGAAACACATAGTGCAGGAAACTTGAGCAGCAGTGGTGTGTGCACGAAAGCAAAGACAGTGCTGCTACCATAAGCGCTGGCATGGAGCCCAGGAGGGCTAAAGGACATCAGTCTCCCTCTCGATCCCCACGTACTTGAGGGCATCAGCTTGGCTGTACCTGTCCCAGAGCAGGAGGAGGAACCAGATTACTATCAAGGCTTTTGTGATAAAAAAGAGTCCCCTCCCATTTCACTTCCCCTCCCACTTTTTAAAAGCAGTTTTCAATGCTCCCCTTCTGAGACAAGGCACCAGAGATCAGAACAAAGACAAAGCCTTGACCACCATGAGATCCTCTCCTTCATCCCTATCACCCATCTTAAGCCCCCAAATCAATTCCAACAGCCACCCTTTCCACCCTTGGGGCCACCTCTCTAGGACCATTCCTAGCTGCCTCACCTGTAATCAAAGAAGAGCTCTTCGCCAGCTTGAATTGCCCTCTTGGCAAATATCCCAATCCGATGGTCCCCATTCACCATGACCACTGCAAATAGGACATACCCAGGGCTAAGTCCCCAGTCAACCCCAAGTCAAAAATCAGTAGTGACTCAGGTCTGCTTTTCTCCAAATTCCCAGTGAAAACACAAATGAAGTGGAATTAGAAAGTAGTCAATAGAGTTGCTTCTGTGTTTTGTTTTGTTTTTCCTAGTTAATAACGGATAGAGATCATAGTAAATGAAGCATACATCCCCTCAAGCCTACCTCCCAGGTCACTGAGAACTCACCTTTGGCGTAACAGTTGGGGTTCACTGAATGGTTTGCAAATCGAATTTTGTTTCCTTTCCGGGTTGCATCCACTACAAAATCTGTATAAAGTAAACCAAGAAAGACCATGAACTCACCAGGCAACTCCACAGCTTCTTGAGCCTGAATTTAAAATCAATGAAACAGTAACAGAAACAAGACGATCTGGAGGGAATTTTAGCAGGAGCTGGGGAAGCAGGCAGTATAAGAATGCAGCTTCGCGTGGGAGTACTCCCTTTGGTCCTCCCCTCCTTTTGCTGGAATTATGGATCTCCTCTTTCCATCCAGGGAGGGAGATTTCTGAGGTGTAAGTGCTCAGTGCTCTGATTACAAACACAACCTGAAATGGAAGTTCTCCCAAAGCAAGTGAACTGTGGCTCAGTGTCTCTGAGTTCAATCTCACCACCTTGCTCTGAGCATCTGTTGGAAGATTCAGAGCTGATCTGAACCTGGACCAGAACAAGGGACATCTGGTAGGAAGACATGCTCAAGACCACTTTGGGATGAGAAAGAGAGACTCCATACCATTGTTGAGGTTGAAGAGGAAGCTGGACATGTATTTGTCATAGACCTTCCCTCGTCGATCAGCCTCGTCCTGAGAGATGAGCTGCAGAGACAGACAAGGAACGAACAGGGGGATGAAGCCGTCTGCTCAGGCATGGTACCCTGTCCCTTGACAGCAGTGGGGGGGCGGTGTCACATACAGGTGCTTACTGAGCACCATGATGAGAATCCTAACATACCGAGCTTGGGTTAGTTCCTTCCAATCCCTACCCAAGCTGGCCAGTGTTAAGGTTGGAGAGAGCCCCCACCCGCCCCTCCTATGTGGCCTGAACTGCCAGAGTCGAAGAAGAGTGGTTTGTTTCAGAACTGCAAACAGTTCTGTGGGATCCCCCGAGAGTCCACATGAGAACTCAGTTGAGTTATTTAGAGACTGATTCACAGAAGTCTGGACCACAGAAAATCAGGGTTTCTCATCACTATTTCCCCAGATAAGAATGTGGGCCAAAACGATAGCACTCACCTCACCACAGTATTCAGAAATGAACTCGTTCTTCTGCACAGACTCCTTAATGAAGGTGCCCCATCCGGCCACATCTGAGGGGGCCAGCAGCAGGTGCTGGGGAAGAGGGAGTCAAACCTCAGACTACAGGGTGTGTATGTGTTAGGTGTGCACGTGTACGGTGGGGGGAGAGCAGGGTGGAAAGAACTAGCAACTGTTAAGAGGATCTGAAAACAGAAAAAGGTCTAAGCTATTCTGTTCTGCTGGGAGAAAAAACAAAAAAGGGAGGTGGTGAAAGGAAACATGACCCCTCCTCCTCTAGACCTGTGGACCTTCACTGCTATGTGTCAAGTAAAAATAGACCACATCAGTGACCAGTCCCTCCTCTCTGCTCCTTCCCATCTGGCTGCTTCAGGGGGTCACTCTTCTCACCCATCACTGGGACAGAAAACTTTATTAATTCAGTAAAAGTGTGTCGTCTAGGGCTTACCAAGAACTTTCATATACAAACCCTCTAAGGAACCAGTAGAAACAGGCTGCTGGGGAGTACTCAGTCTTTCCCATTCCACTATCCGGCTGGCGATCCTGGAAAAGCCCTCACCTTCTTGAGTCCTCGCTGGATGCTGCAGTTTTTACAGGAAACCACTTTGCAGTCCCAGTGCTCTGAGGCCCCACAGGTGAGACACAGGTCGGGGTCACACTCTCTCACTGCCAGGTAGCAAGGGCACTGCTTGGTATTGCACTGGGTCTTACAGCGACAGCCAGGGAAGCGATTCTGACCTGGTGGGACGACAGGTGAGGTTGGGAAGAGAGCAGGCTCGTGCTGGGTTTGACTCAAGGGACAGCAGAAAAGTAAATGTTATGTGTTCAAGGATATTTGGCAAAATAGGAGAGACGTTCCCTTCCCAATAATCATATACTCAAAAATTTTCCAAAAAAACATGAAGTGCCTCCCAACATTCATGCCTGAGAGTCAAAAAAGCAGGTTCGACTATGGAGATATATTTCCTAGGTTCCCCAACAAGGCTCTCCTCCTCCTCGGTGGGATTTGGAAGGGAGGTGGATAGTGCCCCCAGAAAATAAAATCAGTGTTTTTCACTGGCACATTCTGATCATCAAAACAAAAACCACTTTGAGAACAATACATCCGTTCTATGCCACCCTCCTCCACCCACAGCCCTCCCCCCTGCTGTGGTTAAGATTGATAACTGCTATGGGTTAGGAGGTATTTCTAGCACAACTGCCTGGGCACCAAGTTCTGCAAGCTCTGGAGGCTGCCATCAAACTGCCTTGACGGGTGAAGGGCATGGCTAAAAGAGAAGCACATGAGCCTCTATCCTACCTTCTGCTGACGTACAGACCAACCCGATATTAAAATTCCAGAGAGCAAACTAAAATAGATATACACAGAATTGCAACCTGCACAGGTTACAAAACGTTCTGGAAAGGGAGGCTGTGACTGCACTAGCAGGAAGATGCCATGCTTCTTACTTCTGCCCTGGAAGGTCAAGTTGGGAAAGCATCGGGCTTCTGTATAATTGTTGCTTTTAGAATCATACATGTAAGGGTTTTTTAAAAATCACTTTTCCATATCTTAAGTCTCTTCTAGAGTGGTTAAAACACAGCAAAGAGAATATCAAAAGGCCCATCAGCAGCAAAAGGCGCAGGAGGGGAGGGAAACCTGGGATGCGTTGGGCCGGCTGTGTTGGCAGACTACAGGAGAAAACGAAGAGCTCTTACAGTCTGGGTTGCACTGGCAGAACTTCTCACAGAAATTCTGAGTCATGATGCAGGGGCAGGTGCTGTCGCAGGGGCGGTCTGGGTGGTCGCAGGGTTGGTAGTTGTACACTTGTGTGGAAGAGTTATCTGGAAGAGAAGAGAATAGACCAGGGCACTGCTGCGCTCATGCTCCCTAGCGGCCTTCCCTCTCAAGTGTCCAGGGCGCTGATTCAGAGGCTTGTTCTACCATAACTTCGATCCACATCTAGCACCTGATGATGACAGTCCTAGATGATGGTTCTTCATAAGCTACAACGGCGTGATTTGTTTTGTGGCGAAAGTGTAGAAATAGTCCGGGACTATAGCGCAGCTATTCTGAACATTAAATGAAGTCTAGGTCCTGGCACATGGCAAACCATGAAAGTCAGAGACCACAAGGCCCATAACTCTACCTCCTAAGAGTCCTCACAGCTGCAGCGAGAAGCTGAGCTGTTCTCAGCTGCTGCAGAAAAGCTGCAACCCGCGGAAGTGGTGTAGGGTCAGCAAGTGCAGCTGCAGGTGGGGAAGGACGGCCACAGGGGTGAGGCCTCGAGCTGAACTGTGGAAGAAGGCCCTGCTGGAACCTACCTTTCTTCAGCTGAATTTTCCTGCAGTGTGCAGCCCACAACCTGGAAAAAGACAGGATGGGTCTGGGTCACGGTCCTGGGGAAGTCTGCAGAGCCGGGGAAAGGACAATGCGACCTACTCTGAGGGACTGCAGTTGGAGAATTGGGGAGTGTCCTCCCACATCACTTCCCCGGAGGCTTCTGTTCTTGTACAGGGAAGCTACAGTCCACCCCAAAGCCAGCTGGCCTGTGCCTCAACATTTAAGTATAAACAACCTCCCCTTAACAAACATACATACATAAAACAAGAAATAGGCACACAACAACACCCAACCCTCTATGTCTACTGTAATCTATCGTCCCTCCCTCTCCCCAGCCTTTGGGGAGGTGGAAATGTGGGGGGTTTCAGGATGGGGAGTTGAGAAGGCTTTTGAGGAACATGTTCTGAGTGAAGGAACTGAGAGGGAGCGGCCACGAGGCCTTCCTTCTACATCTAGAATTTGTGTCAGTTCCTTTCTTCAATAGGTGATAGTCATTAGGGAACCAAGCCAGGCAGAATGTCAATTTAAAAACACAACAACAAAAAGCAAAGAAAAATAAAAAAACGCAACAAAAAATGTCCAACTCTCAGCAAAGGCTAGCTAGAAAAAAGTTATTATGCAACTTAGAAAAATAATACAAGTGCCAAAAACAAAACAACCCTGGTCAGGGTTGAGAAGTGAGTACAGTGGTTAACTAATCACCAACAAGGAAAATGGCCTCAATGTGGAGCCATGAGGCCAGTTCATATTCTGTTGGCCAGGAGCTTAAAGGAAAAACCAAAGTTAGCTCATGATCAGGAGAAAGGCTGGGCCAAGGCACAGACCCACAGGGAGCTCTAAGAAGGCCGGCCCTCAGTTACGCATGCCAAACGGATGGGCAGTGGCTACAGAGAGAGGCAAATGGGAAGTCCAGGGGGAGGTCAAAGCACAGGGAACAGCCTGACACAGAAAGTCCTTTGTCCAACCCTTGCCTGTGCTTTCTTTTCTTCTTCTGAGAAGGGTTCATGAGCTCATCTGTTGGCAGCTTCAGGATAAGTGATTCTTTGACTGCAAACTGAAAGACCTGGAAGAGAAGTCCAACAGAACCTGTCACTCCTTATTGAGCCGGGCGGTCAGATAAGTGACCCAGCCAAGTGCTGGGCTGAGGAGGTTCTAGAGGGCTCCCAGGCAGCGGACTGAGCATTTCTTCAGTCACGGGAGACAGAGTGGCAACGGCTCTAAAATTAGTTCTTATTTATCCTGACTTGAGAAAGGAGAAATACTGAGCACAGTTACAGCTTTCCTGGTTAGTAGCTTTTATCTACTGTTCTGCCTACCAACCCTGAGTGTGGGCAGATTTTTACCAACAGTATCTCTCTCTTCTTAGGGAGGGCAACTTCCTGCACCTTGTGTAACTGAGTAAGATCTGACAGACACCAGCACTAGCTCCCTCTGCTGGTATAAAGGCATCAGAGCCTTGGCTACTCACTTCAGTAGGACAGCATTTCAGGAAAGCTGGTTCCCTTTCATTGTGCTTCTTTCCTTTATAGCATTCAGTTTTAGGCCCCCTGCCACCCCCACCCGCCTTTTTGGTTATAATTCCTTTTGAGAGTCTGTGAAAAGTATAGATACTCTACTTAGGAAAAAAATGCACAAAAATTGTTTCATGCCCAATTTGATAGATTTTCTTTTTAAAAATACATTTTATTGATTTTTTACAGAGAGGAAGGGAGAGGGATAGAGAGTTAGAAACATTGATGAGAGAGAAACATCAATCAGCTGCCTCCTGCACAGTCCCTACTGGGGATGTGCCCTCAACCAAGGTACACGCCTTTGACTGGAATTGAACCTGGGACCCTTCAGTCCGCAGGTCGACGCTCTATCCACTGAGCCAAACCAATCAGGGCCAATTTGATAGATCTTTATGTTAACCTGTGCCTCAGGGAAATAGGTTTGAGATCCCCAATGAAAGCAAAGGGCACGTCGGTTCATGGCTCTATTGCTTGTTCCAGGTAAAGGAAGCATGAAGAGGGCAGTCTCCTCTGAAGTTAGGAGCCATGTGAGCAGGGCCCAAGCTCTGGTGCTCCTTTCTTGTTGGACGGATTGGTTTTAACACCTATCTCCATGGCCCGTGTCTACAGCGTCCTCTCGCTGCAGTCTTGTCCTGCCTTTAGAGCATGAGTGGCTACTATCAAACCATGATTCTAGTGACGTGATGGTATGAGTGAGAAGGGCGAGGTCCAGGCCTAGCTTTTGGGGGTGATAATTAGAAAATCTTGTGATGGTACATTTGTAGAATAAAGCAATGAGGAGACTGATGGCGGGAACAACACTGCCGTGGAGGAGAAGGAGCACCCTAGGTAAGAACATCCCCAGAAAGACCTGGGAGTCTAGGAAATGGATACACATTTCAAAGAAAATGTTGGAAACAAAAAAAGAAGCTAAAAGTGTGCTGGAACATCCAGAAGAGTTAGATCATGGCTAAAGACAGAAATAAGAATTCAGCAAGGGGGAGAGCAGACCCCAAGCACTGCTAGGCCTGGCCTTTGCAGGAGGCCCTGTGCTTGGAGACCCACTTCATGGCCTAGAAGCACAAACTCACAAGGAACTGAGCCTGAGACAGCTTCTCTCCAGACAGGCCACTTACAAGATGGCAAAGGGCTGACAGAGCAGTGCAGGAAAGGAGGGCCTGAGCTTGTTCCTGCTGCTTTCAGACAGTACCTGCTTGCACGTCTTAGTCCCCAGAAGCCTCGCTATTGAACAGAAGTTGTTGAAGTAGGTGCCATGAAAGACTCGGAAAAGAGATTCTTCAGCCCCAGTCCATTCCACAGGCTCCGAGGGTGCTTCCACTACACAGAGCTGAGGGGGGGCTGGACTAGCCTTCTGTTTTGTGGGGGTCTGACAGCGAGAGTTAGCCTCTAAGAGGAAGAAATAAGAGAAACAGAAGAAGGTGGAATGCAGTTGTCATCAATAGTTGGCTGTAAATTCAAAAGTATTTTATTTAAATGGCAGCCTAGTTAGTAACAAAAATATCCCCCCGTCTCCACTGTTTATAGATAAACCTGTGGACAGAATTAACAATTTTATAAAACACTAGAGGCCCGGTGCACAAAATTTGTGCAGGGGGAGGGGGGACCCCTTAGCCCAGCCTGCACCCTCTCACAATCCGGGACCGCTGGCTCCTAACTGCTCACCTGCCTGCCTGCCTGATCACTCCTAACCCCTCTGCCTGCCTGCCTGATTGTCCCTAACTGCCCCTGCCTGCCTGCCTGCCTGATCGCCCTAACCACTCTGCCTGCCTGCCTGATCACCCGTAACTGCCTCTGCCTCGGCCTCCGCCACAGCGGCTTCGTCAGGAAGGATGTCCGGAATGACACCTAGAAGGTCGTTTGGCTGTCTGGTCTAATTAGCATATTATGCTTTTATTATTATAGCTAGTGATATTAAGTGTTAATGGTGATCCTGGGTTTACCAGAATCCTTGTGTGTTAAGACAAGATCATTTCCTGTTCACTGTACCTGAAGAACTGGAGGCCCAGTCATTGCCTGTGTCCCTGTCACTGTCCCCTTCTTTAGTCTCAGCCAGAGCAGAGGCTGAAGTGTTGGAGCAGGAAGCACTGACCATGTGGTGCCTTCGCCGGCGCCGACCAGAGCACTTGGAACGGGGGTTGTGGAGCATGGCGTATTCCTTTGCTCCTTCCTGCAATGGACACGTTAGATAGGAAACTGAAGTAGGCCCAGAATCACCATATTTATCCCATCATCACAAACCAGCTTTTCAGCATCTGTGCTTATGTGCAATGATACTGTCTTTTGTTTGCTCTGTACCATACAAATGCGGCCATCTAACAGCCATTTAACATTCTAAAAACTTAGAAACATATACCTCTTCACAAAAGAGCTAACCTATAAAGTAATCTTAAAAAGATATAATCTATGCATTTTCAACTTTCCAGTGAGTTATATCTAAAATTCATTTGCATGTTAGCTGTTGGGAACTTGAGAACACATTCTCCTGTACTGGTAATGAGGTTGAGAGAGGGGAAGGGACTTGCTTGAGAGTATATAGCTAATTGCTCCAGGGTGGGTACAAGGATCAGGACTCTTCTGTTTCAATAATAAAATATGTAATCCCTGAATTTATGCAATATTGCTACTTAATTTTGGAACTTCCCTCCAAACTAGTATATTAAATTTGGAGGAATACTGTTTTGTTACTTTATAGTTATGTGGGTTTTTTTTAAAGACCAAATAACTATCATTCAGCTTGATTATCTATCTTCTTATCAGACTTGGTTCCAAAAGATTTCTAGCTGTTTCTAAAAATTAAAACTACATGTAAATGATAGCATTTACCATTAATAAGGATATTCAGAATAATACACTGTAGGCACTAAAGGAAATTCCAAAAGAAAAGTTTTGAAATGAATTGAATCTGATATTATGTGCCTATGCTATGATGTGACACCCACAGAATCACTTATAATATATTCTTCCTCAAAATGTTTAACATAGCCCTGGCCAGGTAGTTCAGTTGGTTAGAGCATCATCCTAATACACGAAGAGAGAGGAAAGCATCAATGTGAGAGAGACATGTCAATTGGTTGCCTCCCACACACATCCAGGGGATCGAGCCTGCAACCAAGGAACATGCCCTTGAACTTAATTGAACCCAGGACCCTTCACTTTGTCGGCCGATGCTCTATCTACTGAACCAAACTGGCTAGGGCTTTACTTATTTATTTTTAATCATTTTAGAGAGGAAGAGAGAGGGAGAGATAGAAACATCAATGATGAGAGAGAATCATTGATTGGCTGCCTCCTGCACACCCCCTACTGGGGATCTAGCCCGCAACCCAGGTGTATGTCCGACCAGGAATCAAACTGTGACCTCCTGGTTCACAGGTCAATGATCAACAACTGAGCCACACTGGCCGGGCAGAAGTCATGTTTTATTTGCACTTTATGACCCCCAAGTGCTATGTACTGTCTCACTTGGTTTGTGTTGCCAGGGGCAGAAAGCCCAAGGACCATTTCCTGCTCAATTTTCAACAAAGTTAACAATAGTAGAACAGCTTAAGAACGTACCAGCAAAAGGAAGCAGTCTGTGCCACATGGTTCTGGTTCAATCTTGATTTCTTTGTTCTTGCGTTTATATACATTAGGGGTAGCATGAAAAGCTGGAAAACACAACACTGTCCTGTTTCCAACGATTCATCCACTTGACAGGATGGGGAGGAACAAAACTGAATTAGGGAGCTAGTGCAGGAGAATCTGGAGATAAATAGTTACCATCAAAGTGCACAAAATCCAATCATTTCTGACATCAACAGAATCCTTTCAAAACTAGGAGGTAGTCAGAAACAATTATGTTGCTGGTTATTCTGTCCTGACCATGCAAAGCATGTTGTAGGATAACTGAACAAGTGAAAATAGATTGGTCCTTTGTAAAACCATCATCAGATCAGAAGCCGGGAATTCTATATGATAAACTAAAATAATGAGAAGGAAATGGTGGCTGGGAATAGAAAACAGGAGAGCATTTCAGAGTAGCCCCACTCACGGTGAAGGAAGCAGTCGTATTTAAAGCAGCGCCGGCAAAAAAGTGTGTGGAAGGAGTGCAGAGATTGCTCCCGCTGCACAGACTTGGCATTGGGGCCATCGATGTTGGGTGTGCACTGAGGGGGAAGTGCATTGGGGTCTGACATCTCTGTTAGTTCTCGGTACCTATTCAAGAAAAGAGAGATAAGAGTTCCTTCCAAGGGAATGTCTTAACTGAGAAAATACAGATTGAGTACTGAGGATCATCCAGGTACAGCTGGCCAAGAGAGGATGGGAGTTTTGAGTCTTGTTGATGATGGATTTGTGTATAACTGAGTTAGTACAACATTGTAATTATGCTGGGCTGAGCATATGCCTGAAAGGGAGGGAAATATTTAATAAGTATGGTGCTGGAGTAACTCTCCAGAAAAATGGCAGAAGTATAAAAAGTTCTCTGCCCAGACTTACTCAGAAGCCAGCAAACAATGACCCTTAATAAGGGAATGGGTATTTTGGGTAAGCAAGTAAGGAAGAAATAATGAGAAGTGGGGGCAAATCCTTATGCACTTACCATAAGCAAGGCTTTTTATTAACCAAATACAGGCGTGAATAAAAATTTTGCCTGATCACTCTACAAGGCCTGAGGGGGGCAGCTTCCCCTACCTCTCCTTCATGTCATCTGGGACACCATTCTCAGGGAACATTGAGGCGATTGCACTGAAGATCATGTCATTTGGAAACTGTTTCTTGGAACTCTTTTTGTTGCCTGAATTAGAAAAGACAAAAAGCTCCTGAGTGCTATCTACAACCAGAGTATGCAAACAAAGCTGTTTGGTCGTTTTTCTTTTGTCAAGGCGTTTTTTTTAAAAAATATATATTTTATTGATTTTTTACAGAGAGGAAGGGAGAGAGATAGAGAGTCAAAAACATCGATCAGCCGCCTCCTGCACATCTCCCACTGGGGATGTGCCCGCAACCCAGGTACATGCCCTTGACCAGAATTGAACCCGGGACCCTTCAGTCCGCAGGCCTACGCTCTGTCCACTGAGCCAAACTGGTTTCGGCAAGGCATTTTGATTAGAGCTGCTTTTCTGTTGTTGTTAATTCTTACCCGGAGATATTTTTCCATTGATTTTTAGGGAGAGTGGAAGAGAGAGGAAAAGAGAGAGAAACATCAATTGGTTGCCTCCTGCATGAGCCCTGACCAGGCTCCAGGCCCAGGAGGAGCCTGCAACCAAGGTACTTGCCTTTGACCAGAATCCAACCCGGGACCCTTTGGTTTGCAGGCCAATGCTCTATCCACTGAGCCAAACCAGCTAGGGCTAGAGCTGCTTTTTTAACCTATACATTGGCTGTCTAGGAATATATAAGAAAGTCAAGGTTATCTGGACTTCTCTAATAAGCTACCAGTAAATAAGGAAATCACAGTCTTCTACATATTAACAACCAAATCCACTCCCCACGACAGAATATGGAGGTAAAAACCAGAGTTTTCACAGAGACCTGAATACAGAAGAATCCTATATGCCGAAAAACAAGACTGATATCATAACTCTGTTACAATGAAAGAGACACTATGTTCCTGGACATATAGTATAATTAAATAATGTGGAGTATAATTAAACATTAGTTAAATATTAACAACATGGAAAACTGTTCATATGATTTTTTTAAAAAGGGATAAAAATTACATGTATGCATATACATACATGTGGCATGATCCCAATTTCACATAACACATATAAACAGGTTGATTTAAATATGTACTTTAAAAAAATTGAGATATAGTTGACATACAACATTGTGTGTGTGTATATATATATATATATATTTTAATATTTTAAAAATTGATTTCAGAGAGAAAGGGAGAGGTAGAGAGAGATAGAAACATCAATGATGAGAGAGAATCACTGATCGGCTGCCTCCTGCATGCCCCTGACTGGAGATTGAGCCTGCAACCCGGGCATGTGCCCTTGACTGGATTCAAACCTGGGACCCTTCAGTCTTCAGGCTGATGCTCTATCCACTGAGCCAAACCAGCTAGGGCTTTATATATATATATATATTTTTTTTTTTTACATTTTTTTAGGCCTAGAAGGAAATTAAAAAAAGTTTTTTTAATTGATTTCAAAGAGGAAGGGAAAGGGAGAGAGAGAGAAAGAAACATCAATGATGAGAGAGAATCATTGATCGGCTGCCCCCTGCACGCCCCCTACTGGGGATTGAGCCCGCAACCCGGGCATGTGCCCTTCATCAGAATCGAACCCGGGCTGCAGGCCAAAGCTCTATCCACTGAGCCAAATCAGCTAGGGCTAGAAGGAAATATTAATGCTGGTTATTCCTAGGCCGGATTATAAGGCCATTTTATTTTGTTCTTTAAACCTCCCATGTTTTCCAAATATACCATTTTCTAATTAGAAGTGAATAATGATTATTCTCTAAGTTCCACTTTCTTCTCAGCTAGGTTACCCAAGCTAAATTAACTTATGAGAGGAGAAGGAGAGGAGAGGGAGAGGGGAGGGAAGGGGAGAGACATCAATTTGTTGTTCCAACTATTTATGCATTCATTTGTTGATTCTTTTTTAAAATATAAATTTTTTAAAATTAATTTTGAGAGAGAGAGAGAGAGAAAAAAACCCATTGATTTGTTGTTCTAGTTATTTATGCATTCATTGGTTGATTCTTATATGTGCTCTGACCGGAGATTGAACCTGCAACCTTCGCATATCAGGATGACGCTCTAACCAACTTAGCTACTTGGCCAGGGCCTCTTCCTGTTACTTTAAAAAGTCATATGAGGAAGTAGTGCTATTTACCTTCAATAGCATGTCGTTTTCTCTTTCTTGTTACTGGCAGATCTTCTTTGCTGTCATCTTGCTTTCCATCTGAGGTGTCATTGTGCCCTTCCTCCTCCTCATCTGAGTACTGATTCAGGGCATCTACCAACTCCAGGAAAACAGCATCACTAATCAGGACAGATCCAGGAATCATCTCTGAAACATAAGGATTAAATGGGTGAGCAGTGGTTGTTTCATATTCCATTACACCTCCTAGGAAGGTTTTGTTGTATTCACTCCTGAGGCCCAGGTAGATAACATGTGTACATTTTTATATGGACTCCAGGGGATTACAATAATTTTTAAAAAAAAATATATTTTATTGATTTTTTTACAGAGAGGAAGGGAGAGGGATAGAGAGCTAGAAACATCAACGAGAGAGAAACATCCATCAGCTGCCTCCTGCATGCCCCCCATTGGGGATGTGCCCGCAACCAAGGTACATGCCCTTGACGGGAATCGAACCTGGGACCCTTCAGTCCGCAGGCCGACGCTCTATCCACTGAGCCAAACTGGTTAGGGCGGATTACAATAATTTGATTGGCTCTTACAACTGCAACAGTTCAGCTGACTAGTGGAAAATCCAGTTACAAGTTTTATTTTTACTGGAGTACTTCCTTTCCACAGTCACAGGTCAACCTCTATTTATGGTCCAAAATCTCACAGAAATGTGCAAACAATAAAAATGGGACAGAAAAAGAATGATAAAAATATACTTGGTCTTTCTGCTAACTGGTCAGTAGTGACTTCTTTGAATAAAAAGATAGCATTTTTTCTTTCTAAAATCATACCATAGGGGGTTATACTACATCTTAGGAGAAAGTTTTTGGACACTAGAGGGCGTAGTGGATAAATGCATTTCAACAGCATCATAACACCCACAATTGTCAAAAGAGCAGGTGAGGCTATTGGTTTGCAAATCCTTGGGGAGTCTCTCCCTATCATCCCAGTTCTTATACACTCACAGCCTTTTCTAAAACTACTTCTAAAACTACAACTAAATCCAAATGGCTTTCTTTTAGGAAAGTTAGGATATTATAACCAATTTCTGAGAGATACAGGGGATATCTGGATCAAAACTTCTAAAATCAAACTTATTTGTACACTGAACTTTCTCTCTTGTCACTGATTACTTTATGATCCTTTTATGTCCAAACTCCTTTTAAAATTTAACTGGGAATTTTTAAATATAAAATTTCTACTCTCAGCCACGTGATTACACTGAAATATTCTTCAGTGTGTACACCCGTAAGGCAGGAGATAAGAGGAAGGTGATGGACCAAAGAAGAGGCACCATTCTAACAGTTTTCTCCCGAAGTGCCCAGCACCACTACCTTCTTCACCATGTACTTTCCCATCGTAGTTATTGATCAGCTCTTCAATGAACGTCTCATCTTCTTCTTTCACCTCATCTCCCATGTAGGGAATATTGCACAAAACTGTCTCATCTTCTACCTGAAATCAAACCAGATGTGATTTCTTCCATGAATCCATTATACACCTCCTCTTTTCTGTTTAATGAAATATTTGCTGAGCCTTTTTTGCTACTTCAATCTCCTGAAAATGACTTTGGTCACAGTGGCCTGAGTTTAAAAACCTGGATATTTTGTTTTATCAACAAAACCTCAAACGAAGAGGGCAATGCTACTTTGGGGGGGGGGGGGGGAGTTAAGTTTAACTACAGGAGGATACTAACTACCAAATGTTTTGCATGATACTAATAAAGATATTTCCACTAACACCTAAAGTTTGGTAGTACATTTGTTTTTAGTGATTCATCATCTCTTTTTATTCAGTAAACATTATTGTGAAATAGGTATGAATATCACCTAAACAACAGTTTAAAAAGTCTTCAATTCTAATTCTTCTCGTACATAGAGATTAAATGATATGGAAGGCTTCCAAAAATACAATCTGTAATATAACTAGAATATTTAGAACAGAAACTGGGCAATCATGAATTTTTGGATATTCTATTATATACTCTAAGACTAACCACTCTGATAATCATAACAACAAATATGATTATAATTCATGTCACTTGCACTCAGTGGGAACCTAAAGTCAATCGCAGTGTATGAACTATAATATTTTCTGGTAGTAAACAATACTAATGAATTTTTTCTTTTTTTGATTCAACAGAGAACACAGTCATTCTTAAATCCTCAAATATCAGAGTAAAACTACTCTGAAGTTTAATTCTGAGGATTCCCTTCTGTGAACCCATATTCTATTCTGCTGAATTGTTATCTGTCACCAGGCAGATGATAAGCTATGGCAGTATTTAGAGAGGTCTGCTTATCAGTACCACAAATAACCCTAGTAGGAGTTAGCATAAAGGCCCAGGTGAAAGGACTATGGATCCCTGTGCACCTCATTTATCTCAGTTGCTTTCACAGCCTCTTGACTTTAGAAGATTCAGAAAGGATTGAGCCATCAGCAGGGAGCTGTCAACCTGCTTGAGTCTCAAGTGTCTGACTGAGACTGCATTTAATTGCACATGTTATAAAACTGGACAAAGTAGTAAGGGAAAACTGGAGTCCTGCCCAGTCTCACTCATTCAAAAAAATAAAAGAACCATCATCAGTGCAGAAGTATACTTCAGAGAGCACAATACCTACCAAGTTAGAGCAACTTGCAATATACTTTTTAGAGTAAATAAATTACTCTAAAAGCATTCTGCCCTGCATGTCCAAGCTTTGTTATATATACTCTGACAATATTTACCTTAAGAGGAGTGCCGCATATTAACATAAGAAAGTCATAGTTTAAACAATTATCATATTGTTTTCAATACATACCATAAAGTTCTGCTGGAGAGGGGACCAGGAATACATAATGGGAACCAATGCAACTGTGTTCAGAGACCGCATTAACATATGTTGGCTTGCAAATCCCGGGAAAATGCTGTCAATGGTACACTGAAATATAAACAATGATATGGAGAGGGAAAGGCAAGCACACAACTCAAGGGAGAATTGGAGTTTCCTTCCGAACTGATCCCAGTAGCCTTCTAATTCTTTCAAATAAGCTGAGGGTTTCGTAACAGTCAGCTTCTAAAAGGAACCACTACACTATAAACCTGTAAAAAGTAGGAACTCTCTCTTATTCACCTTTGTATCCTCTACCGAATCCAGCACTTACTCAATCATGTTTATTTCAAATCCCACACTTGATGTTTATTTCAACCTAAAACTGTGGGTCTCCTTGGGCTGTACACAAGAGAAAAGGGCCTCTGAAAGTCCTAAGAGATGAGGAGGAAGATGAAGTTTTCCTGAAGACCTAAACATTAAGGCAGCGGACATCAACTTAGTTGCACAGGTGATGGGGACAGTACAGGGGGAAGCAAAAGAAAGTATAGTCATATTTTGCTTTGGAAAATAAAATTACTCTCAATATACTACCTGATTTTTATATCTTAAAAATTATTATCTCTTTAGAAAACTAGTATGATTTGTAAATTTACAATAAGGGATATCCCTTTTATCAATATATTCCTGTCCATTATCCAAGGCATTCTTTTTTCCAATATCAAAATGCTGAAAGTGCCAAACAAGGCACAAAAAAATGGTTGATTTGAAGCCTGCACACAGAACCCAGGAAAGTAGACAGCAAATGTCTTGTTTTTTTCTATGAAAAACTCATGATTATGCTCATTAACTGAGAAGAACAATAGGCAAAAAGGTCTTTAAGCTACAGATTTACCATTCCGGTTATCCAAAGTTTACTATAATAACTGTACCCATTATCTTTACTTATTTTCTAGTCACAAATACAAGTCCAAGGAAGAGAAGAAGGCTGAGCTTAGATACCCGGAAGTACCTTTTTGAGAAAAGGATGCCCACTCAGAGGCTTCATCAACTGAACAGGTTGAACACGAAGCTTCTTCCATTCTTCATTAAGGATTTGGGTTTTTTCTTGAACCTTTGCAAAATTTGCTACATATAGAGCCTAGCAAAGGCAAGAAAAAAGTAGTTAGGATTTCAAGAGAAGAGTTGAAAAATTCAACCCCTCCACAGTGGATCAATATGTTAAGAAACAGAACCTTTCACTTGGAAATTATTTTTTACCTTTGCACCCATATTTGCCTGAAGCCGTTTAAGTTGTCGAAGTCTCATGTATTCAGATTTAACCTTTCTTTTCCAGTAAGTGATACATTTGGAAGTTGGGGCATTTGGTATGTCCATTTTGCTGTAATCTAAGAGAGAGAGAGATGAGAAATAGCATGTACAGCCTGGAAATGAAGCATTCCTCAAACTCAACCATGGTCAGTTATACTTTCATTCCTATTACATTTACTCATAAAAGCATACACTTAAAGAACCCAAAACTATGAGTTCAACAGGAAGTTTCAATTAAAAGATTTCATGTCTGCAATTCCTGATCTTATTACCACCCTAACCCCCAACTGAGTGGACACAGATGGAAGATGTTCTGCAGGGCAGGGGGGAGGCTGGGGATATGTTTAGCAGCCGCCTCCTCCCATACCTCAAGGAACTTGGATTACTTGGAAATTTTGAAGCCTACTCACTACAGTGATTAAGAGAAATGTTCAGCAAGAATTAAGTTAATATCAAAGAGGTGCGTGGAAACATCCACACTATAAAACTGTACCTGCCAAATTATCTAACTCTACCACACCTTAGCAATAAAGGGTGGACAGGACAACAGCATAATTTCATCTCAAAGTCAACAGCAAGACATTTAGAAATATATAACACTATAAATAACTTTTGTGTGTGTTTGAATAAAGAGTCACAGTTTTAAAGAAGTACTTATATGCTACCTACCTCAGAATGCAAGGGGAAGTGTCCAGTTTTATAATGTGCCTTCTGTTCTTCAGAGGAACGGTAAGACATAAAGGCAAAACAAATATTCAGCTTTTCAAAAGAGAATAGAAAGTTTTTAAGTCAGTGGAGCATATTTAGACCCTGATACATTCAGTAGAATGCTCTCCCATAACTATGAAGAGTTTGAGGTCGCTGCTACCATTATTTCTGCATGTAAGTCGGGTCTAAATAATACTTGGTGACATTAGGGAGGATCCTTTAAACTCTATTCTTCCAGTCATGTGTACAAATATATTCTCACCATTACCAAGTTTGCTATTTTGCTTTTCTGAACCAATTTCTAGGCTCAGCCTGCAGGCCCAGAAATTATTTTAGAGAAAGAACAAATTTTGTGTGCATGTGAAAATTCAATAAAATCTACAGGAATATGTTTTTACTCTATAGTAATAACTATTTAGGTTTCCTAGAGAACTAGTTTAATTCATTTCACCTAAAACTTTAAGTTTCTGAATATATTACAAGGAGCTATGAAGAGCCAAAATCTGAAACAGAAACTAAAGTTTCAGGCCTTGTTTTTTAAAATTTCTGGGGGGAAAAAAAAGCTTTCTTTTGGAGTTTAATATCATATGATATGAAATATGATATTCTCCTAATGGATCATTTTAAAAATTACCTGCCTTTCCCCATAAGAATAGACAGCACAGACAAGAAAACAGCAAAATTTAACCCACTGTCACACATACACCACAATCAGATCATGATCATGTGATCTCATGCACATGGGCTTTGTTTCATTTGATGAACCAAACAGACTGGTATAATGCGATTAGAAATTTAGAGGATAAGTAAAGGAAAGAAGGCATAGCATAGCACAGACAGATTCACTGTGTTTACTAAAACGCAACCAAGTGATTAAGCTTCTAAAAACAGAATTCCCTGAGAGTTAATCGTTATCTCTCTGGAAGAAGAAAATGAAACAACATAATCTAGGAATTTGAATCCAAGAGTGCTAAGATGATGGGATATAAAAAAATTAAGCTGACCTGAATTTCTTTCCTACAAATTGCCCCACCTCTCTTCCTCCTACATCTGTTAAATAGTTCTCATTCCTCTATGGAATGGGGTCAAAAGAGGGCCTCTTTTTGACTGATAAAACTATACATCACACTCACATGTAATATTAAGTAGTTGTTCACATGCTGTCTGCCGAACAACGAATAGTCTACTCCGGGAAATGAAAAAATGGTTCAAATATAAGACAAAACTGCCTCCCTGAGAAATGTTAGGTTATCCTTATTGAGACGCAAATGACCCAAATGTCACAGATCACAATTCGGTCAATCATCATAACCTCCTTAAAAAATGGGTTTTAATTGCAATTCCTTTCTCATTCTTTTTGGAACTCATTTCCCTTTTTGAAATAGTGAGCTCAGGGCAGTTTGCTGTATCCATTTGAAATTGGAGATCAAGTAATGGAAAATAATATAATCCACAGTTGCTTGTGTGTGTGTGTGTGCACGCGCGTGCACAAATTTCTTAGAGGAGATGGCCACAGAGAATATCAGTATTTTTATTGAAGAAAGGAGTTATAACTGACATGTAATATCCTACACGCTGTCAAAAAAGTTGACAGTATACACATATACACGAAAATGCCGTTATTTTAACCAACCATAATGTAAAATAAGCCACATTTCCTCCTTTTACAATAAAAATGATATTTGAGTTTCATGTGACCGTGAAGTGACATTTATTTTGCTTTGCTTTTTCACGGGTCTTCAATGTTTCTAAAAGTTTATTTGGCAGTTAGTCCCCACAGAGTGTATGAGGAAGATGAGACATACTATTTGGAACAGATGATATGATTAAAATAAACACCTGTAACACAGCCAGAAGACTGGTTCTCAAAGCATCTGGACACTAACCAACAACTATCACTTCAGATTTTTTTTTTTTAAATATATTTAATTGATTTTTTACAGAGAGAAAGGGAGAGAGATAGAGAGTTAGAAACATCGATGAGAGAGAAACATCAATCAGCTGCCTCCTGCACATCTCCTACTGGGGATGTGCCCGCAACCCAGGCACATGCCCCTGACTGGAATTGAACCCGGGACCCCTCAGTCCGCAGGCCGACGCTCTATCCACTGAGCCAAACCGGCTTCGGCCAGATTGTTTTTTAAAGCAAACAAACAAAACACTAAGCACTCCCTAGAGCAAATTTGGAAAATAGGTTCATACATCTTGGGCAATGGGAATGGCACATCAAAAAATACCTTATATTTCTACTACATCTGTTCTTTAGTTCTTAGACATGCAAAACAACATTTACATGTCAGTTAACTATTAAGCTACTACTTAGGAGCTTTTTATTATATTCACTTACTTATACACTGAAAATAAACTTCAAAACATGCAGTTTTGGTTAAGAAGTTTAAAAATGTCTTTATATAAATAATGCCAAAACTCAGTATAAGCAACCCAATAAAAATGACAAAAGAAAAAAATCTGAGTAGATACTGCACCAAAAAAGATATAGAAATAGCAAAACAGCACACAAAAAGATGCTCAATGCTATTAGTCATTAGAGAAATGCAAATCAAAACCACAAGGATGTACTATTACAACCCATTAAAATGACTAAAATAAAAAAGATTGATCATATCAATTATTGGTAAGGATGTGGAGCAAATTGGTATCCTCATCATACATTGGTGGTGGAAATGCAAAATGGTACAGCCATTTTGGAAAACAGTTGGCCAGTTTTTTAAAAAAATAAAGTTAAATATATACTTACCATATAACCTGACATACAATTTCTAATTATCCAAGATAAATGAAAATATATGTCCCCACAAAGATCTGGACACAAATGTTCATAGCATCTTTATTCAGAATAGCCAGAAAGTGGAAACAAGACAAATATTTATGGATTTGCAAATGGATACAAAGTGTAGTATATACATACAACTGAATACTCTGTAATAAAAAAGGAATGAACAGTTCCCATACATGCACAACACATCTCAACAACTTTATGCTAAGTGAAAGAACACCAAAACAAATGACATTCTATATGACTCCACTTACATGACATTCTACTAGAATATTTCTAGAAAGGGCAAATCTAGAAAGTGACAGAGTAGATCAGTGGTTGTCAGGGGCTGGGGTTGGGGAAAGCAATTAAAAGGAAAGGAGCATAGCCCTAGCTGGTTAGGCTCAATGGATAGAGCATCCGCCCACGGACTGAAGGGTCCCGGGTTTGATTCCCATCAAGGGCACATACCTAGGTTGCAGGCTTCATCTGGCCTTGGTCACCCCTGGTTGGGTTGCAACCAACCCATGTGTCTCTCTCACCTCTCACATTGATGTTTCTCTCTTTCCCACTCCCTTCCTCTCTCTCTTAAAAAAAAAAAAGGGGGGTGGGGGGAGCATAGCCCAGCTGGTGTGGCTCAGTGGTTGAGCAGTGACCCAGGAACCAAGAGGTCACGGTTTGATGCCCAGTCCGGGCACATGCCAGGATTGCAGGCTTACTCCCCAATCGGGGATGTGCAGGAGGAAGCCAATCAACGATTCTCTCTCATCACTGATGTTTATAATCCCCTCTTCCTCTCTCTCTGAAGTCAATGAAAACTTCCTTTTTAAAGGAAAGGAGCACAAAGGCATTTTTTGGGGGATGATAAAAATGTTTTATAACTTGGTTGTGATGATGGTGATTTGACTATGTACTTTTATGAAACCTTGCTGTGCTATATACATAAATGATTAATTTATTGTACATAAATTTTTACCTCAATAATGTTGATTAAAGAAAAAATAAGTCTTTCTTGATGACCTATTAATCCAGTATGAGACTTACTATTAAAAATAGTAGGCAATTTCACCTTTTAAAAAAACTCTTTAGCCCTGGCTGGTTTGGCTCAGTGGATAGAGTGTCGGCCTGCGGACTGAAAGGTCCCAGGTTTGATTCCGGTCAAGGGCATGTACCTTGGTTGCGGGCACATCCCGAGTAGGGGGTGTGCAGGAGGCAGCTGGTTGATGTTTCTCTCTCATCGATGTTTCTAACTCTCTATCCCTCTCCCTTCCTCTCGGTAAAAAACCAATAAAATATATTTTAAAAAAAATAAAAAATAAAAATAAAAGAACTCTTTAAAAAACCCAAACTCTTGAGTGACTTCAGAATGAATAATAGTAGAATGATCAATATTGGTTTAATAACTATTAAAAAAAGTTACATGTATACTACTGTAAGATGTTAATAATACGGGAAATGGGATGTGGGTTATATGGGAACTCCCTGTAATATCTTTATAATATTTTTGTAAATCTAAAACTGTTTTAAGAAAATAAGGTTTGTTTTTTTAAAAATTGGTAATTGGAAATGTTAACTACCTTATTTACAAGTCAGATCTCTACAGGAAAAGAAAGCTATAAAAACTTGGAAATCTTTCCCCAGAAAATTGGTTCTCAATTTGCTTCAAAGGCTAAACCTAGAATGTAGTTTGTCACTAGCTGGAAATGGAAAAACATTACTGAAATATTTGGAGATAAAACATTTAAAGAACGATATCCTTAAACTCAGAGAGACTGAAATCAGAATATAAAAGTTCCAAACTATGAAAATTCTTTCATCCACATAAAGGTCTCCATTTAAAAAAGCTTATCTTAGGGGCAAATTCAACGTCTTTACTACTTTCTCTTTTAGAACAAATAATTTTTTTTTAAGCCTGGGTGAATTGCACTGTAGATGTTTAAATTTTCCATCTCATTCTTTCCTTTTCAGTTCAGTGGAGTTGAAACATAAACAATAGGGGTGAAACTACCTCTGCCAACAGCTCTAGTAAAGCATAATGAGTTATTCTGGTGATGACCAATTTCCATCAACATTCCTGTTAAAATCAACTCTGTGGCTAGGTATAAAATGATCAATCCTTCAAGTAAGATCTATTAAATACATCTTTAGTTTATACTCTCCCACTTCTCTAAGATATTTATATTTGTTATTAGTTTGAGGTTCTGGGCACCCTACACATAGAAAAAAAAACCTTACTAACAGGAAGCTGTGAATTTTTTTCCTGAATTCTTATTTAAAATAAAATTATACCACTAATATTTTTTAGTATTGCTTTATTAAGAAAATAAGGTCATTTGCACTGGAGACAATGGAGATAAAAATCAAAGCAGGATTAATTTTTATGAGACCAACAGATATACAACAATCTATATATATATATATATAAGCCTAATATGCAAATTGTCCCCACAGGAGTTCAACCGGGAGACCGAGCACTCGCTATGATGTGTGCTGACCACCAGGGGGTGGCGCAGAACGAAGGAAGGCCCCGCAGCCAGCAGCCAGCAGCCAGGGAAGGGAGGCCCCGGCTGGCAGCTGGGAGGCCCTGATTGGCTCTGATTGGCCCTGATCGCTGGCCAGGCCTAGGGACCCTACCCATGCATAAATTTCGTGCTCTAGGCCTCTAGTGATTTATAATAGTTAAAGCAATCTCCTAACAGAATCAGCTCCATCTTGGCTGATTCTGTACTATACTAGCACAAAGTTTAATACGTAGTGATTAATACTTAATACTGCTCATTATCATTCAATAAAACAAAACAGTTTTAGTTATTCCATTTTGAAACAAAGTATTAGGGTAAGTATGTCAGAAAACACAACACACCAGAAGCACTTAACTCCAATTATCCATTAAGTAATTCTTGACTTTTGGGTTTGGAGCACTGAAGTCCCGACTGACAGTTTGATGGATTGCAAAAGTATAAAAGAGCCAAAAACACAATCTGAAAAAATTTAAAAAGAAAAAAAACAAAACAAAACTGGGACTTTCTAGAATGAAGGTATTCCCTAAGAGAAGTTTTTCTTTTTTAAACCCTCCCCCTCAATCCTAATCTAACTAGTATAATTCTCTTCACCTTTCTCCACATGCCTTTTTTTTTCTTTAAACTACCCTATGTAGAAATGTAATGTGTGTTTTTATGGTTTTGCTTTGTTAATCTTCACCAGAGGATATTTTTTCCATTGCTCTTTAGAGTGTGGGAGGAAAGGAGGGAGGAAGGTAAGAGGGGGGGAGGGAAGGGGGAGGGGGAGAGGAATGGAGGGAGTGGGGAGGGGGAGAAGGAGGGAGGGAGGGGTGTGTGAGAGACACATTGATTGACCGGGAATAGAACCCGGACTCTGTAACCACTCAGTACACCAGCCAGGGCTGGTGATGTGTTTTTAGTGTTGATGCCTCAAACATTTTTTTGGCAGTTGCTAGTTAACAAAGTAGAAATTTTTAAAACAGTCCAAGACAGGAAAAACATGTACTACTTAATTAAATAAATTGTTACACGTTTCATATAAAGCATGAACAGGAACAAAAACTGTTACCCACAGGAAAAGGAAGCCAGATTTCAGATATCAAAAGTTAAATAGAAAAAATTAGTATATTAAATACGATTTAAAAGGCATGTTAATTCAAAGGCAAGTAAGATAAGAGACACAAGTCCAACTACATTTTCTCCCCCTTTCCCTTCTCACGAAAGTGGTCTTGAGAGCAAAATTTCTTTTTTTAATCCTAGCCTCCTTATTCTAGTGCTGTTTCAAAGAGAAGTCAAATAATACCATAATGAAGAAGCAATTTCAACCTCAGCAGGTTTTAAAGCTGTGTTTTAGCATAAGGTCCTTGACCGGCCTACAAATACTCTGCCAGTTAGCAGCAGAATTAGGATCCACATCTCCAACTGCCAGCCCCAGAGGTCTGCCCACTATTTATGTATTCCACACATATGTACTGAGCACCTACTGTGTTCCTGGAACTATTTTGGGGTGCTTAGGGTTCATCCGTGAATAAATCAGACAAACATCCCTGCCCTGGGAGAGTTAACACTGTGATGCACACACGCAATATAAACCTTGGTAATAGTATTATCATTACAACTTTATAGATAGTCCTTTCCTTTACTGTAATTGTGTTTACAAAAATGTACTTATCTCCGAACACACACTTGCTTCTATGCAAGTAAGTAACCTCTGTTTCAATGACACAACATCCCAGCCCCGGGGATTCCAAGACTGAAAACAGCCAAGCTCTTACAGAACGTCTAACAGCACCTTCTCCGGCTGGAAACTTCATTCAATGCTGGTTTCCTAAACTTACAAGCACCGGGTGCGGGGGGATTTTTCTTTTCAAAGACGTGGAGGAACAGACCACACTTTCCATGCGGCCCTCCTACGCACGCAGTAGCCCCTCCACCTCGGCCCCTGCTCTTACTCCTCTCGCGCTAGGCTCCGCGCCTAAGCTACTCCCTTCACAATCTTACATTTCACCTCTAAGAGCCCGTTCTCAGCAGCCCCCCGGCGTCGCCGACATCCTTCCCCATCCCTCCCCTCTCCCCGGCCCCGACACAATGTCTCAGTTGTCACTTTTCTACCAAAATAAGTTTGTCCCACATTTCCTAACAGGCATGTCCCAAATACAACAAACACCTTGCTTTTTCGCTTCAAGGAACTTTCCCTCCTGCCGTGTGATCCCCGGGAGAATTCCGGGGGGTGGGCAGGGACAGGCGGGAAACCAAATTTGGAGAGAAGCTGCCTCTCACTCGCGGCTGGGGCTGGGGAGGCGAGAGGCGCCCAGCCCCCAAACCGAAGGAGGCTTCGGCACCGGCTCCACCCCGAGAGTGAGCGCCCCCTTGTATTTTACACCTAGGACCTCGCCCACCTCACCCCAGCCCCGGTCCGGTTTTTCACGCCACCCCTCCCGCAACACCTCCCGCGCTGCGGCCCGCTGCCTGGCCCTCCTCGTGCGCAGCCCCAGGTCTCGGGGTCCCCGCAGGTGCCACCGCCCACTCGCGCCCTCCCTATACTGGGGCCCCCGCCCACCGGACCCACCCCGCCCTCCAACGGGATTCCCGTCCCCGGGCCCGCCCCCGCCGCTCCTCCTCCCGGACACACCGCCCTCCCAGCCCCAGACGTGGTCCTCGCCGGGGGCTCACTGGCCCGTCACCCCCTTTCCGTCAGCCCTCGGAGTCGGGAGTGGCCGCCCCGCTACCCCGGCAGACAGGCATGGTGCCCTCCGCTTCCTCTCAATTCCCTGACCCCTTCGCCTTTTCCTCTCTTAGGTCCCGGGTGGCGAGGTGCGGAGGCCCGGCCCCACCGCCCGGCCCGGGCTTGTTTACTCACTCACCCTCCATCCCGAGCCGCAGGCGCCCTCCGCTAGGACGCCTGCGCGCCGCGGCCCCGCCCCCGCGCCGCGGCCCCGCCCCGCGCCTCCTCCGGCGCCTGCGCACTGCGCCGCCCTCCCTGCAGGTCAGCTACCTGGGCTTCCTTCTGAACGCGTCTTTATTTGGCCCCAACACCTGTACTCTGGCGTCGAGGTGGCACAACCCCAGCCCGATGGTTTACAAAGTGACACTATCAGGGGACAGGTTTTTTGGGAAATCTCGAGGTGACACTAGTATCTTCTTGAACACCTTATCCAGCGGTTGTACCATCCCCACGTCTCACTATCAGCGGTTCTCAACCTGTGGGTCGCGACCCCTTTGGCGGTCGAAAGACCCTTTCACAGGGCTTGCCCAAGACTATCCTGCATATCAAATATTTACATTATGATTCATAACAGTAGGAACATTACGTTATGAAGTAGCAACGAACATTTTATGTTGGGTCACAACATGAGGAACTGTATTTAAAGGGCCAGAAGGTTGAGAACCACTGCATTTGAAGCCAATCTGGAACCCCTTCATACCAATCCCTCACACCTACCAATACCCCCAAACACTGGCTTACGGACATTACTTATTCCTGCTTTATTTACACCTGACTTCTCTATTCCTGTCAAAACTTTTCCTAATCCCTTAGTTTCAAATTAGCCTGTATCAAAAAGTATCTCTTTAGAAGATAACTATAGGTTACAAAGGTAACTTTACAGGAGAGAAATTTAGCAGACATCACCTTAACAAATTGCTCAAAGTTAACATATTCTTATTAGATTAGGCAATTCTCAATATGATGCAATGAGAAGGGCACAAAACCACATCTGTAGTATTTTTTATCATATATTTTTATTGATTTCACAGAGGAAGGGAGAGAAAAAGAAACATCAATGATGAGAGAGAATCATTGATTGGCTGGCCCCTACTCTTGATTGGTCCCGCAACTCCAGCATGTGCCCTGACTGGGAATGGAACCATGACCTCATGGTTCATAGGTCGATGCTCAACCACTGAGCACACTGGCTGGGCTGTAGTATTCTTGAAAAAAAATGCATAAATTAAATCACAAGGATGTGTTAGAAAAATTCAAAATACAGAATAACGGGCCAGGATCTTCAAAAAATGTCAAGGCCATGCAAGAAAAAAAAAAAAAAAAAAAAAAAGGTGAGAAACTGTCCCAGATTGGAGGAGACGGACGAGACATGACAACTGAATGTAATGTGTGATGTGAAATTGAGTCCTGGTCCAGAGAAAGGACACAAGTGGGACAATGAAATTAGAATACAGTCCATAAACTCGTTAATGGTATTTTATTCATCTTAATTCTTGGCTTTAGCAATTGTACTTCCTCAGCATTTGAGGAAGATGTCTGAAGGGTATACAGGAAGTCTCTACCTTTGCAACTCTTTTGTAAATCTGAAATTATTTCAAAACATAAAGTTAAAACAATTAAAACTTAAAATACAAAATAACATTATCTTAAATTTGTCTCCAAGTGTATAACTATAAAAGCTTGTAGTCTTTATTTTTTAAAATAATCTTCATAACAACTCTATGATGTAGGTAGGGAGGACTTCAGTTTTATGCATGAGACTATTCTGGCATAAAGGAATTAAAAGACTTGCCTTACACTGATGAAAAATTGCTCTGTGAGGTCTTAAACTCAGATCTCAGGATTCCCAATTTAGTATTTTTTTACTTTTATCAGAAACCTTGACTTTGCTGTTTTTCTCTTGCTTCTATCCAATTAACTACCAAATAAAGACAAAATTCCTTCATACTTGGTCATTTGCAATGATGTTCCTTTCCATTCCCAATACCTTCTAGATCAGTGCTTCTCAAACTTGACTCACATTGAAACAAATAACTGGGCAACTTTAATAGCTGATGCCTGTCTCCCACCTCCAGAGAGTCTGATTAATTGGTCTGAGATATGGTCTGGGCTTCACAAGTTCTAAGAGCATCCCAGGGGATTCCACTGTGTGACCAAGTTTGAGAACCATTACACTACAGAAAAAATTGTTTAGCCCTGGCCAGTTTAACCCTAGCCTGATAGAGTGTCAGCCTACAAACTGAAGGGTCCTGGGTTCGATTCCGGTCAAGGGCACATGCCCAGGTTGCAGGCTCAATCCCTAGTGGGGGGTTGGGGGGTGCAGGAGGTAGCTGATCAATGATTGTCTCTAATCATTGATGTTTCTATCTCTCTTTCCCTCTCCCTTTCTCTCTAAAATCAATTTTAAAAATATATTTTTAAATTGTTGAGCCCTAGCAGGTTTGGCTCAGTGGATAGAGCCAGCCTGCAGACTGAAGGGTCCCAGGTTTGATTCTGATCAAGGGCACATACCTCAGTTGCAGGCTCAATCCCTGGCCTTGGTCAGGGTGCATGTGCAATGTTTCTCTCTCACATCCATATTTCTCTCTGTCTCTCCCTCTCCCTTCCACCTCTCTAAAAATCAATGGAAAAATATCCTCACATGAGGATTAAACAATTTTTTTTGTTAAAAAAACAAAACAGAATGTGGGTTATCTAAGGAGAGATGTTCCAAAAATCTGATTGTCAGGACTGATACTGGAGAGGAATTTGGGAGCCATCAACATATGGATGGTAACTAACATCATGGGAGTGGACACATTGCTTTAGGAGAGTCTGCCAAGGAGATATAAAGAAATTTTGCAATAACAAAGAAAATATGGTTACAGAAATATTTTGAGGTTGGAAAAGAAGGAAGGTGAGGGAATTTATGTCAAAGTTGTAGGTCAGAGTTCTGCAGCGCAGCTCAAGCTCCACCTCCTCATTAAGCCTTCCAGCCCTCCTGGATCTCTCTTGCTGCAACTCCAGTACCACTTTTAAAAAATATTTTTTAATTGATTTTTTTTTTTTTTTTTTAAGAGAGAGGAAAGGAGAGGGAGAGAGAAAGAAAAACATCGGAGATTCAGGAAGATGGCGGCGGTATAGGCAGACGCGTCCCAGGTCGTGTCCCTGAGCAAATGGAGTGAGCAGCTGAAACTAGTAACATCCACCCCGAATTGGCGAAATTCCTCAGCGGGCGAGACAGTTTACAGCCGGGAAGAGCAGAACTCCCCTGGAAAGCAGATCCAAGCAACAGCAACCTCCTGAGCACCACACCCTCTGCTGAGGAACAGCAGCTGTACGTGAAACCTCGCCCCACCAGCCAGAAGAGCCACCACAGCTGTGAACAGCACCCACCAGAGGAGTTGCTGCCAACTGAAGAGCAGCTGCTACCGCAACCGCCCGAAGAGGAACCGCAGACCAAGGAGTCACTGCCACCAAGGGAGCAGCCACTGAACGACTCAACGTCTAGATATGTCAGCGAGATCAAACATGGGTAGACAAAGAAACCCCCAAAGGAAAGAGAAGGAGGACTCTCCAGAAAAGCAGCTAAGTAATACAGAGGCATGCAACATGACAGAAAAAGAATTCAGAATAAGGGTCCTAGAGTGCATAAACCGGATGGAGGAAAAAATCGACAACCTCAGCAAGAAGCAAGAAGAAACAGATGAAAAAATCGATAACATATGGAAGAAGCTAGAAGAAACAGATGAAAAAATCGATAACATATGGAAGAAGCTAGAAGAAACAGATGAAAAAATCAACAACTTAAGTAAGACCCAAGAAGATATGAAGAGCGATATAGCTGCAATGAAAAACTCCATTGAAAGTATCAACAGTAGACTAGGAGAAGCGGAGGACCGAATTAGTGATTTAGAAGACAAGGAAGCAAAACACACCCAAAATGTACTGCAATTGGAGAAAAAAATGAAAAGACAGGAGGAGAGCCTAAGGGAGCTTTGGGACAACATGAAACGAAACAACATACGAATAATAGGGGTACCAGAACAACAGAAGGATGAACAAGGATTAGAAAACCTATTAGAAGAAATAATATCAGAAAACTTCCCTGAGGTGGGGAAGAAAAAAGTCACACAAGCCCAGAGAGTCCCAAACAAGGTGAACCCAAAAAGACCCACACCAAGACACATCATAATTACCATGGCAAATGTTCAGGACAAAGAGAGAATCTTACAGGCTGCAAGAGAGAGACGGAAAGTTACATACAAGGGATCTCCCATTAGATTGTCAAATGATTTCTCAACAGAAACACATCAGGCCAGAAAAGAATGGATGGAAATTTACAAAGTGATGCAAAGCAAAGGACTGAATCCAAGAATACTCTATCCAGCAAGGCTATCATTCAAACTTGAAGGGGAAATAAGAAGCTTCACAGACAAAAAAAGGCTAAGGGAGTTTATCACCACCAAGCCAGCAATGCAAGGAATGCTAAAGGGACTGGTATAAAAATAAGAAATAAAAAGCTCAGAAAGAAAACAGCCACACAAAAACAGAAATGCCTACAAACAACTACCTTTCAATAATAACTTTAAACGTAAACGGACTAAATGCTCCAAACAAAAGACATCGAGTGGCTGAATGGATAAAAAAACATGACCCATACATCTGCTGTCTACAAGAAACCCACCTCATTAGAAGGGACTCACACAGACTGAAAGTGAAAGGATGGAAAAATATCTTTCAGGCAAATGGAAAGGAAAAGAAAGCTGGGGTAGCAATACTTATATCGGACAAAATAGACCTCAAAGTGAAGGCCATAACAAGAGATAAGGAAGGCCACTTCATAATACTAAAGGGATCAATACAACAAGAAGATATAATCCTGGTAAACATATATGCACCCAATGCAGGAGCACCTAAATTCATAAAAAAACTCCTGGAAGATATCAAAGGAGACATCGACAACAATACAATCATAGTAGGGGACTTTAATACACCACTGACAGCACTGGATAAGTCCTCTAGACAAATAATCAGCAAAGATACAGCAATCCTAAATGACTCACTAGATCAGATGGACTTAATAGACATCTTCAGAACACTTCACCCGAAAGCCAGGGAATATACATTCTACTCAAATGCTCATAGGACATATTCAAAAATAGACCATATATTGGGTCACAAGCAAAGTATCCCCAAATTCAAGAAAATTG